CGGCAAAGGTTCTGAATAGACATCTCCAATAGATGAATAGACATCTCCAAAGAAGATACAGAAATGGCCAATGACCACATGCAAAGATGTCCTGTCCGCTAGCCACCAGGGAAATGCAAATCAAACTATGAGACACCACTTCACAGACCCACTAGGGTGACCATGATACAAAAAGACAGATGGGGTGCCTGAGTGGCTCAGTCAGTTAAGCATTCGACTCCTATTTTGGGCTCGGGTCATGACCTCATGGGTCATGAGATGGAGCCCCAAGTGGGCCCCAAGCTCAGCAGGGAGTCTGCTTGAATTTCTCCCCCCACTCACCCTCTCTTTATAAATAAATAAATAGGGGCACCTGGGTGGCTCAGTGGGTTAAAGCCTCTGCCTTCCGCTCAGGTCATGATCCCAGTGTCCTGGGATCGAGCCCCGTGTCAGGCTTTCTGCTCAGCGGGAAGCCTGCTTCTCTTCCTCTCTCTGTCTGCCTGCCTCTCTGCCTACTTGTGATCTCTGTCTGTTAAATAAAAAACAAATTAAAATATTTAAAAACAAATAAATCTTTTTTAAAAAAGACATAAATATACACTTGCGTACACACATACACCCCTTCTCATATTTCAAAGTTATCTAATTGCTTCTGTAATATGGCTCCACTCCTTTAATCCTGAAAAATCACAAAAAGAAGCTCAGGTTCAAGACAGATTTGGAGGAAAGAACTGCTTTTATCTGCTAGACACCTCAGTAACACAGACCATGGGCCAGATCTCAGTACTACTCACTAGATGGGCGGCTGTGACTCTGTTTGCTGGAAACAGTCATGACTGCCTGCAGTAGCTGGAAAGTAAAAAGGAGGCGCTGAATCCAGCCTGGGGAAGGGAGAGGTAACTGCATTCATTCATTTCCGAGATGTTGAACACATTTTGTCTTTCAAGCTTCTAGGCGATTTTGGTCCTCAGTGGTTAAGGGGTAGTCTTGGAGCAGAGGGCAGAAGGGTGGGATATCAGATTGGAAAGGGAAGGCAAGCATCATGTGGACACTGTGTTGTTAAGAATCTGGTGGGTTCCCATGGAGTCCCTTTAACAGTGCAGTTGGGGGCAGTGAATGAAGGTGCTATAGACAAATTATACAGGCCGACCCGCAAAGTGTTGTTCAGGCAAGTTTTATTATTTAGCTCCCTTTGCTTCAGCAGAAATCAGGACCAGAGGCTTTCGCTCTGATGTCCTGGTTCCCACGATGCTGATACTTTATGCCTATAAGGAGCTGTCCTGCTCACCAGGGCTCCACGCGCCCTCACTCACCATCACAATACACCTGAGCCTACCCTCAGATGCTTCCATTTCACACCTGGAGAAACCGAGGCTTGGAGAGTGCAATGGTTTCTTCATCCATCCATTCATTCATTCATTCAGAAAAACATTTCCCAAGCTCCACCTGTGCCCAATGCTGTCCTTCATCTGAATGAGCCCCTGAGGGGAGCAGTCCCTGCCCTCTCCTAGCTCACACCCTCCTGGAGAAGTCAGACAATGAACAGGTAAGCCACATAAACACAAGAAAAAATAACAGCACAATAGTGGAGATACTATAGGGTGACGGGAGAGAAAGAAGGTGACTGGGGGCTGTAGAGATCGGGAGGTGAACGAAACTGACATTTACATGGAAGCCTGAATGGCAGGAAGAACACAGTTGTGTATTTGGAGGAAGAGCATCTCCAGAAGAGGCACAAGGAGACTAGAGCCCCAAGGCGGGAACTAGCAGAAGGCAGACATGTATAACTGGAGGCTGACCACCCAGGCCAGACAGGAAAGATGAGACTGTAAAGACTGATCTTAGGGGAACCTCTGGAGGGCTTTGAGTAGGGGAGAGACTAGGGTCCGTTTTTTAAAAATCACTGTGGCTACAGGTGAAGGGATTGTGAAAGAAGGTATGGAAGCAGGGAGGCCAGCTAGGAGCCCGTTTAGTGGGCTAGAGAAATCTAGTGCTGGTTGGGTTCAGTGGGTTCAGGGTGTCTTGGAGGCAGGGCTCCCGGTCCTTTCCAGTTATGAGCCTTGGAACATGACAAAAAAGAGGAATCAGGACTGAGTCCCAAGTTTCTAGCTTAATTGGATGCACGTGGAGCTTTAACTGAGCCAGAGAAGCTGGTTGGGGAGAAGACTCAGGTCCATGTGTTGGCCATGTCTTGTCTGAAATAGATATATTTCCCTAAAAAAGTGCTGGCAAGGATGTGGGAAATTGCAACTTTGATATACTGTTGCTGGTGGGACCATAAAATGGTGCAGTTGCTTTGAACAACAGTCTGGCAGGTCCTCAAAATATTAAACATACCATATGACCTGGTATTTCCACGCCTTGGTTTATACCAGAAAGAATTAAAAACATATGTTCACACAAAGACTCGTATATGAATGTTCTCAGCAGCCTTACTCACAATAGACAAACAGTGTAAATGACTTAATGTCCATCACTGGATAAATGGTCAACAAAACACGGCCCATCCATTCAAAGGGAGATTATTTGGCCATAAAAAGGGACAAACCTGGATGAATCTTAAAAATATGACGTTGAGTGGAAGAAGCCAGACACCAAAGACCACATGTTATATGATCTCATTGACATGAAATGTCAGGAACAGACAAATCTAGAGACAGAAAGCCAGCTAGTGGCTGCCAGGGTCTGGGGGAGAGACTTTAATGGGTCTGAAGTTTCCTCTTGGGGGAATGAAAATGTTCTGGAACCAGACAGAGGCGACGGGTGCCCAACTTTGCGATCATTAAATGCCACCAAATTGTACGATTTACAAGCATGGATTATCTGGCATGTGAATGACACCTTAATTAAAAACAGATCAGCTGGAGTTGGCCAGGCATGCGGCATAGGAACAAGGGTTCAGGGACAAGGGAGAGCAGGAGTAAAGGCATGGAAGCAAGACACAGACTGGAAATGACCAATCACTGTGGAAGGAAAAGAGCCTTCAGGATGGCAGCACCAGGGAGACTGGACTCTTCCCCAGAGTGAGGGAGACCCTTGAAAGGTTGGAGGCAAGGTCCTAGCCTGCAGCCACCTCTCCTTGGAAGCCTCTCATGTCCTCAACTCTCCCTCCTCCCCATGCCCTCTCCAGCACGCTTCTCCCTCCTTGTCCCTCACACACTGCTCAAGCCCTGACACTCCTGGCCCACGTATTGATGCCAGGCTGGGGCAAGTTTCTCTTCCCACATCACAGGGACAAACATCCTCTCTGTACACATCCTGCCCGAGCGCCTTCTGATTCTGGCTTTCCTCCCGACGTAATGATGGTCCCCTGGGGGCAAGTCACAGAACTTCTTGTTCCACAAAAACAACAACAACAACAACAACAAAAACAACAACAAAAAAGCTTTTGGGGTGCCTGAGTGGCACAATTGGTTAAGCATCCAACTCTTGGTTTTGGCTCAGGTCACGATCTCAGGGTTCTGGGATCAAGCCCCACATCTGGCTCCATCCATGCTCAGCATGGAGTCTGCTTAAGATTCTCTCTCTCCCCCTCCCTCTGCCCCTCCTGCTCCTGCTATCTCTCTCTCTCTTTAAAATAAAATCTTTAAAAAAAAAAACAAAACCAAAAAACTCTCAAGCTAGCCAAAGGCAAGGATCTTAAAAGCATCTTGCTAAGTCAAAGAAGCTGGTTTGAAAAGGCTGTATGTCATGGGATTCCAAGTGCATGACCCGGAAAAAACAAAGCTATGGAGACCATAAAAGATCCACGGTGGCCAGGGGTTGGGATAGGAAGGATGAAGAGATGGGAGCACAAGGGATTTTTAAGGCAGAGGAATGATGACACCATCACAGTGGATTCAGGTCAAAACCCAAGGAAGGTACAATACAGAGCGAACGCTGATGGAAGCTGTAGACGTCAGGTAATAATATTGCGAGAGCACAGATTCATTGGTTGTAACAAACACGGGCTGGTAATGCAGGACATAAATAGTAAGGGAAACAGTGGTGCTGGGTAGAGTGTATGGGAAGTCTGTGCTTTCTGCTCATTTTTTAATGAACCTGAAATTGCTCTAATACTTAAAGTCTGTTATTAATTAAAAAGACAAACACAGAGCCTACTGCCGAGAGTCACCAGGATTATTTCCCTGACAGCTCAGAGGGAGCCTTTTACCCTGCTGAGAGTCACAGGCTTTGGAACGGGAAAGGTCCCGCTGGCCCGCTTTCTCACCAGGAGCTGCCGGCATTAACTTCGTTCCCCTCTTCGTGCCTGTTTTCTTAGCTGTATAATGGGGACAACGGCAGTTGCGAGGTCTAATGGGATGTCATATGGGATGCACTTGCTTTCTCAGCATACTGGGGACACTCCATCCGCAATGGCAGTGGATCCTTCTGCCTCCCTCTCCTTGTGGACGGTGGGCATCCAAGGACCAGCCCCAGCCAACTAGGGCTTCATCCATCCCCCACCACCCCCATCCATCCCCAGGGCTGCCCCCTCCCAGCAAATGCTCAGGCATCACAACCCTTTCCTCCTCTGTCCCCTGCAGTGGAGACAAGATGAGACAGACATTGTAATACTGAAGGGGGAACAGCAGAAGTTAGGATTGAGTGTCTAGACTCTGGAGCTGGGAGTCCTGGATTGGAAAGCCAGTTCCAAAGGCCCCCTTTGCAGCTCGCACCCAGAGCTACGGCCACACTGGGGCACCTGCCAGAACCCACAGGCAGATCAACCGTCCCTTCCCTGGGACTGAGGCTAGTGCAGGACTCTGTGAGGCCCCAGAGGCTGCCGGGAGGTAAGGAGGATGCTAACCACCCCTCTGCACCCCCAAGTCCCCCATCTCCCACCCCTCCTCACTCCCCCACCTCCCCTCACCTCACCCCCACATGCAGCCAGGCCCCAGACCCCAGAGGCCCTGAAGCTGCGCTTACAGGCCACTGGGGGGCAGCAAGAAATGACCGTGAGTTCCCCAGCAAAAAGTCCTGACATCTGAAACTCAGAAAGGGTTCCACGCCACATGGAGACGGACAGTAAATAACCCGGATTCGGGCACCAGACACTCTGCAGGTTTATTTCTTGAATTCAACCAGGAAACAAAACCTTGGTGCTTGGAAAGGCCCACATGCAACAGCGCTGGTCCCAGTGTTTGTGGGGCTGGATGCCGCTGCAGGAGGAGAGCAGGACGGACAGTCTGGGTGGCCAGTCCCAACCATGGGAGTCCAGGATGAGCCACCAACAAGGCCAATGGGGACGTCTGAGCCATCCTGGCTGTGTCATCCCGGATGTCACCACCAACACTGGGTCATCATCACCAACGAGGCCAGTGGGGATATTCAACAGGCTGGAACCCCCAAGGCCCAAAAGTCCATCTCGGACACCACCCCCAGGCACGAGCCCTCCCCTGACACCACTGCTGCCACTCCTATGGGTCCCAGCAGTAGCCGTGCCAAATGGGGACACCGAGAGGGCTCTGCCAGGGTGAGCATCTGAACGGTGAGCCGAATAGCCACCCAATGCAATCTTTAAGGCCCCTCTAACAGGAGCTCCGTGGAGACGCCTAAAAGGAGACATGTGGGCAGGGGGCAATGTCCAAGGGGTAAGAGTTGATTCTGGAACTTTCCGGGTATCAGGAAGGGCAGACAGTGTATGGGAGACCCAGCAAAGATGGTCAAGTGCAGAGGGCAACTGGCCCAGCCTGGGAGATCTCTAGCTGGCCTAGAGGTCCCTTAACAATGCCCCCCTACATCCAGGTGAGTGGGGCAGACCACCTGTGGCTCCTCTGCTCAGGGGGGAGGATGGAGGGTCTGCCTGGCACTCGGAGAGGGAGAGGATGCCCTGGAGTCTGGCAGCCTGGGGAGGCCTGGACAGAGGCTCCTTAAGGCACAGCTGAGAGGGAGGCCAGGAGGCTCCACTCTGGGTCCAGGACCCAGCAGGGATGCCCCTCGAGGGCAACGAGACCCTGAACGCCTATAGATCCCAGGAGAGAGCAGGGGAGGAAAGAGGGAAGAGGTGAGGGCAGATGGAACAGAAGCAGGGAGAAGACACACACACACACACACACACACACACACACACACAAACACAGAAGCCAGAATTCAGGCAGGAGAGAGCCTAGAGGAGAAAAGAAGAGAGCGAAGATAGGAGAGCCATGGGCTCCTGCTGGGGTCCAGCTGCTCGGCACTAGGATGGCCCCACCTGGAGCATCTGGGCCAGTCCCTCCCCAGGCAGGGCTGTCTGGCTCCAGCTTGCCTCACTGGCAGGGCCCAGCTGGCAGCCTCTAGCAGGCAGAGGAAGAGCATCAGAGGGCAAAGGCACCGGAGCAGATACGGGTATAGACACCCTGGTCCAGCGGCAGGTAGTGGCCCTGCTTCAGGTCCAGGAAGAAGAGCCTGTCCGAGGTCTGGCGTGGATCGAAGCCCTCGTGCTGCAGTCGAGTCTTCTGGATCTTGAAGGTGCCTGTCGGGGTGGGCATGGGGTTTCTTAGCTATTGGGGGGAAGGTTCTGGGATCCCCAAACTCACCATCCTGTCCTACACCTCCAGGCCTCTGCATAGGCCGACCCCTCGGCTGGAAACATGCTTCCCCGTTTTGCTGGCCTGATTCCCCCTTGTCCTTCAGATCCTGACTTCATACCCCCTCCTCCAGGGAGACCTCCCTGCCCACTACCCCATCACAATCCCAAACACTGTGGATTCCCTGCCTGGGCGTGGGTCCACTTCCCATGAGGCCAAGGCAGGGCTGAATCTGCCACAAAGTAGGTCGGAGGTCAGCAACCCAGAGCTTAGGGCCAAATGCAGCCCATCATCTGTTTTGTAAAGAGTTTCTACTGGCACAAAGTGACACCCACTCATTTACACACCATCCAGTGCAGCTTTTGCACAACAGAGGCAGAGGTAAGTTGTTGGGACAGAGACTGCATGGCCCAAAAAGACCTGAGAATATTTACCATCTGATCTTTTAAGAAACAGTCTGCACTCCCTGCGGTGGACAATCAAAGAAAAGTTTCATGAAAATTAAGGCTCAGGGGTAGGTTGAGTAGGAAAAAACCGAGGCAGGAGACCTGTGTGCATTAGAGTTGAGAAGGTTTCTCGTTTTAAATAAAACTTCAAAAACACAAACCATAAGATTAAAAAAAAAAAAGGGTAAGTTTGTATCAAAATGAAGGGCTTCTTTTCAACAAAGGCCCCGCTAACAAGGTTGACAGTTAAGACTCCCAAAGAGAAGACTCCTGACGTCCAAAACCGCTAAGGAATGAACATTGGGACTATTAGGAGAAACTTCTGGTCAAGAAGAAAAAGAGAGCAAGGCTATAAAAGATGGACAAAAATTACAAACAGGTGACTTATAGGAGCGGGAACCTCCTACTTCTGCGAACCTCCGAGGTACTAATACGATTTGCTCAAATTTCCTAGTCATCAGAAAAATATGGGAAATGGAAGAAATGCACCAAACACTACAGAATGCCTAGGGGGGCCGGGATCGAGGAGTGGGAATAAATAATGATGCAGAGAAAACAAGATATGGCCCCTACATGAGCCCATGGTGCCCGCCATGCCATGAACCATTGCAATCAGACCTGGCAGGGGGGCCTAAACTGGGACAAATAAGCAAATGGTTGCTGAATCAACAGAAAGATGGACAGACAGACAGAGACGCAGGAGGCCGCACCTGTGGTGTCCACCTGGGGCAGGAGGCGTAGGAAGATGGGCCGGGCATATGGCGCCAGAACCTTCTGTAGCTCTTGGTACAGTGCATTGGGGCTCAGCTGGCCATGGGGGTCTGCGATGGCTGCCATGCCTGCTTTTCCCTCCACTCCTGGAGACAGAGGTTTTGCTAAGAACACGCCACCTTTTGTCCCACCGCAGGACTGGATGCACCCTTGGAGGCCCCTAGCCTCTGACGTCCAGTCCCTGCCATCTGAGATAACATTTGCTGGAACAGTCACTGTGTTACTGAGCTCCTGCAGCACTCTCTGTAACAGTGAGACAGTAGCTTTCCTGATCCCATTTTCCGGATAAGGAAACCAAGGCTGATTATCATCCATGAGGGGTGACTCCAGATCCAGGGCCCCTATCCCGGCTGCCGTGTGCAGTTACCCAGGTTGAGCACTGCCCAAGGGCACCTGTGCCTTCAAGCTCATGCAGGTTTGGCTCCTCTGGGGCTGCCATACCCGAGGACCAACCCCAGAACCCCAGCTTGCCTGGCACAGCCACCCCGTACACAGCCACGTCTGTCTGGCCCAGCAGACGGCTCAGCACACTCTCCACCTCTGTAGTGGAGACATTCTCCCCACGCCAGCGGAAGGTGTCCCCACCGCGGTCCCGGAAGTACATGTAGCCCAGCTCATCCATCACCAGCACGTCACCTGGCAGAGGGGAGAAGGAGAGGTAAGATGGTGGCCCACCATCCCCATAGCCAGCACCCCACCCCCGGGGTCTTCGCACCTGAGAGGTAGGCACTGTCACCCTTGCGGAAGACACTGTGGGCAATCTTCTTGCTGGTGGCACTCTCGCTGATGTAGCCATCGAAGCGACGCAGTGGGTCCTGCTGGTTGATCTGGCCCACAAGGAGGCCGGGCTCCCCTGGGGAGGAGACCACCCTCAGGCTGTGCTGGGTGGGCAGGGGGTGGGGGCCCCAGTTCCCCAGGGGACTGGGCAGGGCCTGGCTCACCGGCCTGACATGGGATACAGAGGCCTTGGGCATCCCGCAATAGTTCCATGGTGTCCTCATTGACCTTCACCAGCCGGATGGGGTACACATGGGGTAAGATACGGCTGTTAAAGCCACAGGAGCCAACCTGGGACAGAGCGATCTGAGTTGGTGAGAAGCCCCGGGGGATGGCGGGGGACACAGCATCCTCCCCACGGACACCTTGCCTCTCCTGCCCCAGGTGCTGGAATGAACACCCCTGCGTTGCCTGAACTCTGTGACCTTGGGTGATCTGAAAAAGGGGGTCTTAAGGGCAGTGCCTCCTTCCTGGGACTCAGGCTCCCTCTTCCCCCCCTTCCCAGCTGCCTTTGCAACCATGTGAGGAAACCCGCTGACTGGTCACCACTTCCTGGTCCATAAAACCCTCTGTGCTGGCAGGAAGGAAATGCCTAGAAGGACCCTAAAGCCCACTGCCCACCTGGCTCAATCCAATGAAGAGAAATGCCTGCCTCTGTGCTGTTGGGCATGTTTGTTACAGCAGCAAGTCCCATGAGCATGGCCAGGGTATCTTCCCCGGCTGTCTATTCAACGGATATGCATGGGGCGGGGGGAGAGGGGGCTGGCGCTCAGGTACTAGGGCCCCAACACAGAGACAGACCAAAAGGAATCCCTGCCCCCAGATGCTTGCTTTATCACGATTCTCCTGATCTATGCGTGGCTTGGTAGGGCTGCATAAGAGGAGGGTCCCGCTCAGGCAGGCAGAATGGAGACAGTGACTGCTAACCCTCAAAGCATCTGCAGAGAGCCTGCTCCCTGGGTGTGCTGTGCTGAGCTCACGGTCTGCTGGGGATCCAACAAGCCCAGGGAGCTATCATCCGCATTTATAGATGACTAAACCAAAGCCCAAGGAGTCTGAGTGACTTCCCCAGTAGGAGGAGATGGGCACGCCAACCCTGGGCCAGGATCCCCCAGGTCCCTGCTCACCCCTGATACCCCCACAGGTGGGACCTGAGGCTCAGGAAGGCTGAGGCCCTGGCCCAAGGGACACCGCCTGACAGAGGACTTGAACTCTGGGGGCACAGACCCAGGAGCTCCCCCTTCCCCCAAACCCATGAGCCTGGCAGAGCCCTCCCAGGGGTAAGGCTGTCCTACGAGAACCCGGTGGGGGGGGGCGCTGAGGAGGCCAAGGTGGCATTGATCCCCGAACGTGATAACCTGCCCACGCCCACCCCCCACCACCTCCATCCCCACCCACCTTGCCATCCATGTTGGCTATACTGCAGTTGCACTCGGTGGCTCCATAGAACTCGCCGATCTGGCGCACACCGAAGCGCTCGGTGAACTCCTCCCAGATGTTGGGCCGCAGCCCGTTACCCACCGCCAGGCGCACGCGGTGCCGCCCCTCGGCCTCTCGCACAGGCTGCTTCAGCAGGTAGCGGCAGATCTCCCCGATATACTGGACCACCTGGGGTGGGGGGAAGCGAGGGATGGGCCCGAGGGGAGTCACCCCTCCGACCTGGGTGCTAAAACCAGATCATCTTCAGAGCAATGTAACACCCGCCCCCGCCCCCCAACCTGGGGCCTTTTGCTCCTACCCCTTGCTGAATGGGAGTGGGGGGCAGGAGGATGCACTCAGCGACCCTCATGCCCCTCCCCCACCCTTCTGCTCCCCACGCTGTCTCCAGGGACCCCCGTGTGTGCCACAGGCAGCGCAGGAATGCGGGGCGCACCACTGACACCCCACCAGCCAGCCCTCAGCCCACAGCCCTAGCTCAGGGGGCTCCACTCCCGGTGGGGAGGGGTGCATCTCCCAGATACCTCAGGTGCCTTCCAGTCCTCATCTCTGGGTTGACTTTGAATGATTACCACCAACATCCCCAATTTTACTGAGGGTCACCAACAGTAAGTACCAGGACCAAAGCTGATAAACGGCAGAGGTTGATTTGAAGCTGGGCAGCCTGACCCCGGAGTCTGAATGAAGCAGTTACATGCTCGGGATTAACCACCAAGCTGAACATCACAGCTTCCAAGCGCTCACACCTTCCCTCACACACAGGACAAAGTCCAAATTTCTGCCAGTGGCCAATTCCCTCCGGCCCCACCGTCCTCACTGCCTCCTCTCCTTTCATTTCCCACCGCACTGCCTCCTCTCCTTTCATTTCCCACCAAAACCCACTGCCACCACGGCTCCTCCTCAGGACCTTTGCACATGCTTTGCCCTCTACCTGGGGCATTCTTCCCTGGGATGCATCTGGGCTCTCCCGTTTTGGGACAAAGGTAACCGCTGCGGACAGACTGTCCCTGAACACTGCTTGCTAAATCTCTGATGAGAAAACAAATGTGCTGAGTACTCTCTCCCGCCAAGCACAGAGTTCATTTAATTCTCCCAACACCCCATGTTGGACATGAAGCCTTGAGATCCACAGAGGGAAACAGCGTGCCCAAGATCTAACCAGGAGGCAAGCAGGGATGGGGCAAGATTGGAACCCGATGGTGCTAAGTTCTCTCCCTGGGCCCCTACGCTCAGGTCCCTGCTTTTGCCTGTGGCCCAGCCCACCCCATCTCCAGGGCAGAACGTTGGACAGGGTCTGGCCAATCGCCCAGTACAATCTCAGCTACTAAGTGGTTCAAGCCTAACCAGAATTAGACCAATAAGAATCAGCCACAGGACTTCTGATAAACCAAAAGGAAGAGTAAGGCTCTTTATCTCCTGGAGCTGCTGGGAACCTTCCCAGCCCCAGAGAAGTAGGGCTGGGAAGGAAGCTGCCACTAAGGAAGAAGAAAGACAAGAAATGGAGAGGGATTGAGGCACTCCTGGATCAGGCTGTGCCTGAAGCTGTCCCCATGTGGAATCTTCAGGTCCATGAGCTAATAAATCCCCTTCTTCAGGAAGCCAGGGTTTAGGTTAGGCTTTTGGCTCCTGTCAAATGGTGCAAAGTCCTGCCCTGAGCAGCTCTCAGCTGTTCTCTTCAGGCCAGGGGAGGGATGCCAGCCATGATTGAGGCCACTGAGGGGGTAATGGCCCCTCCCTGTGGCCCAAGGCTGTGTCCCTGCACTGAGAGCAAACACTTGATCTTTACCTGTGGTCTGGACCCTCAGACAGACCCAATGCTCAAGGGAAGACAACTCAGGTCAGTTCAGAGAGCCATACATCAGTGGGCCTATGCTAAGACCTCCAGCCTACAGGGTGACAACTGGATAGAAACTGGGAGCTGGGGGGCCCCCTGGGGGACTCAGTCAATTAAGCATCTGTCTTTAGCTCAGGTCATGATCCCGGGGTCCCAGGATCAAGCCCTGCATTGGGCTCCCTGCTCAGCGGGGAGTCTGCTTCTCCATCTCCCTCTGTCCCTCCCCACCCCCCGCTGTGCACTCTATCTCATAAATAAATAAAATCTTTTTTTAAAAAGGGGGGTGGAAACATTTTTTTAAATAAAATAAAAAGGGGGGTGGGAGGATGGGATAACCAGGTAATGGGCATTAAGGAGAGCACATGATGGAACAAGCACTGGGTATTACAGGAGACTGATGAATCACTGAATTCTACCTCTAAAGCTAATAAGACAGTATATGTTAATTAATTGAATTTAAATTTTAAAAAAGAGATTGGATGAATAGGAAAAAAAAAAAAAAAGATTCTGGGAGGAGATCATTGACCGGGGACCCTGCCATGACTCCTTTGTCAGGGTGATCTTGTACTTCAGGTGCACACACCCCAGTGGGTATGGAAGGATAAAGGCACCACATACTCAGTCCCCCAGGGATGAGAAGGGGTCCAGCCCTGTCTCCTGCCTGTCTGTTGCTACGTAGCTAAGAAAGTGGGGTTCTAAATGATAGCCTGCTGTCTCCCGTGAGGATAGGTATACTGTAATTTGGCTGCAGCCACCGTTTCCCCATCCAACAGCCAGAGGATGGGATTTCTGAACCCAAATGCATGCACTTGTTTTAGCAACATTCTTGTTAAACTTGACCTTTGAGGATTTTGTCCTCTATTCCTTAAAGGGCCCCTAGGGTTTTCTGGGTACCTTCTCTTGACACAGAAATTCCCCTTCTTAGAAAAGGAATAGACTATCAAGGGTCTGGAGACCCGTGACCAGTGCCCAGTGGGAGTATGGCACATCAAGGACCAAGAGAGGGACCACCAGACACTGCGGGCCTTCCAGGAAAAAAAGTTGAACTTGAAGCTGATCAATTATCTAGACCAGAGGTTCTCAACCACCAGCAACTCTGTCCTCCCAGAACCCTTGGCAACATCTGAGTACATTTTTGATGCTCATAACCTGGGGGGGAGGGGGGCGGGGTGGGTCAGGAATGCTGCTGAATGTCCTATAGTACACAGGGTGCCCCCGCCAAATGATCCAGCCCCAAATATCCTTAGCATCATGGCTGAGAAACATTGCATTGTACCCAACAACTCCCAACGGACAGGAAACACCGGGGATAGAGGAACATGTTAAGAGACACCCCAGCAACCTCCAGACTGGGAAAATACTACAGGACACACAGCCCTTCGGTAAATATAAGGCAGAAAAAGAAAAAAGAGACAAAGGGCTCCTACAGATGAAGGGATTCTCATGAGACACATCGACAGGTCAAAATGTGTGGGTCTCCTCTAAAACCAGATTTTTTCCAAATTACAGAAACGGGGGGAAAAGTCATATTTTGACCCAGTGAGACACAGGGGATGGAGCCGCTGCCCAGATTTCTGATGACACTGAGAGCTCACTGTCACGTTTTGGCTGTGATGATGGGGCTGAGCTTATGGGGTATTTGTTTGTTTGTTTGTTTTTCCTTTTGTTGTTGTGTCCACATATACATAACATAAAATTTACCATTGTGAGCACAGTTCGGTAGCATTAAGAACACTCACCCTGCTGTGCAGCCACTATCATCCGTCAGGACTCCTTTTATCTTGGAGAACTGAGACTCTATCCCCACTAACCACTGACTCCCCACTCCACCCCAGCCCCAGGTGCCCAACAGCCTACTTCCTGTCTCTATGACCGTGACCGTTCTAAGTCCCTCATATAAGGGGGATGATACAGCATTTGTCTCTGGGTGACTAGCTTATTTCCCTCAGCACAATGTCCTCAAAGTTTATCTATGTTGTGGAATGTGCCAGAATTTCTCCCTCTTTAAGGCTGAACAATATTCTGTCGTATGAATACACCACCTCTTGTTTATCCATTCACCGGTTGGTAGCCCCTAGGTGGCTTCTATACTTTAGCTATCGTAAATCATGCTGCTGGGAACAGGGATATACAAATATCCCTTCGAAATCTGAGAGGCAATGTGGGGGGTTTGGGGGATAGGGAAGGAAAAAATGAAACAAGATGGGATCTGTGGGGGGAGACAAACCATAAGAGACTCTTAATCTCACAAAAAAACCTGAGGGTTGCTGGGGGGAGAGGGGGAGGGAGAGGGTGGTGGGGTTATGGGCATTGGAGAGGGTATGTGCTATGGTGAGTGCTATGAAGTGTGTAAACCTAGCGATTCACAGGCCTGTACCCCTGGGGCTAAAAATACATTATATGTTAATAAAAAATTAAAAATTAAAAAAATATATCCCTTCAAGACCCTGCTTTCAATTTTCTTGTTTTAACAACAGTCCTTACCAGACACAAAAGGCCAGACACTGTGTAAGTCCCACTTACAAGAGATGTCCAGAACAGGCCAATCCATGAAGACAGAAAGCAAATTAGTGGTTACCCAGTTTGGGGTGGGGGGTGCTGGTGGTGACGGGACAGGGATGGGGAGTGACTGCTAATGGGTTTTCCCTCTGGCATGATGGAAATGTTCTGGAACTAGACAGAGGTGATGGCTATACAACATTGTGAATATAGCAAACATCACTGAACTGTTCGCTTTAAAAATGGTTCTTGGGGCACCTGAGTGGCTCAGTGGGTTAAAGCCTCTGCCTTCGGCTCTGGTCATGATCCCAGGGTCCTGGGATCGAGCCCTGCATCGGGCTCTCTGCTCAGCAGGGAGCCTGCTTCCTCCTCTCTCTCTCTTTCTCTGCCTACCTCTCTGCCTGCTTGTGATCTCTATCTGTCAAATAAATAAATAACAAATCTTTTTAAAAAATTAAAAAATAAAAATGGTTTCTTTTATACGAATTTTGCCCCCAAAACAAAGTCATTCTCATCTTTCGGAGGTTTTCCTGAAGCATTTCTGTGAAGGACACACACTTCTCTCTGGGGGCTGCTTCACAAGGATGCAGAAGGACGGAGGTGGGTGGGGCTCGAGGGGGTGGGATGGTGTGTCTGAAGGCCCCTGGGGCCAGTGACAGGTGCTTGGGAATCACCTGTACCTTCTTCTGTCCATGTTCATGTACACAGCCTTTGCCCACAAGACGAAAACAGAGCATTCCTAGGAAAGCTTTCATAAGCTGGAACGGCGTCAAGCATATCCCCTGATACCTAAAAGTACGAATTACACTTCACTTTTATGAAAGATACACATCAGTACTAGAATGCGTGTTGATTTTTTTTCTCGTAAAAGAGAAAATCCTCTTTGGAGTTCTTTCGGTTAGAGAAATCAGGGATTGATGTACGTCTTTCCCCACAGCGAAGCCGTAATCGGAACTTTCAGAGACTGTGGACTATCTGTATTCACGACTCTTGATCAAGTTAATAAAATAGACTTCCGCATTTCAAGACTTGGTTTAACAATGTTCCTAGAGAGTTCCCCATGAGCAAAACGGAAAATCCTCAAAAGTGGAGCTGATCCCAGCCTCTGCCCCCAGGGGTCCCCAGGATGCCAGCCCAGAGCCCTCACCCTGCCCAGCTGTGTGACCTGGGCAGCAGGCCTGACCTCTCTGGTCCCCACCTGACAAGGCAAGGCGGGCACCTGCCAAAACTTGCCAGGCCCTGGCCACACCCCCTTCTCTCCTCTCCTCAACCCTTCTTCGTGGAGGAAGGTGCCAGAACCTGTATATAAACCCCCACCAGGGCACTGAGATCCTCAGGCTGGGTTCCTCTCACCGTGGAGGGGAAAAAAGAGGAGAGGACAGGGCCTAGTCCCCCCTATCCTCTCTCCTCTCCAGGGCCGTGGATGTCCTCCACCTCTATCTCATGCTCACCCTGCCTGGAAGCCCCACACCTTGTGGCCCTAACCAGCCCAGAGCGGGGGTCTGGATGCACTGATCTCATTTCCTGATTTCCTGGGGCCACCAGCAGGGAAGACTCCTGGGACACAGGGCGAACTCCTTAGAGAAGTCGGGTGGCCTGGGCCCCACCCCGTCTGTAGTATGGCCTGTTTCCCGGCCTGCAAAATGGTCTTGGTGATGCCTCTGCCCACTCTCACGCAGTCATGCGGATCCACTGAGCTTACACGGGGTCGGGGGGGAAGGTTTAGCCTGGGTCAGGCCACCCTCCTGTCCCTCTCCAGAGCAGCTATGGTGGGGCGGGGTGGGGGTGGTGCTTGGAGGGTGGGTGGGGGTGTGGCTGCACAGCAGAGGCGGCCTGGCAGGTGGAAGGTGGGGCCACGTGGGAGGGGCGGGGCCTGACCGTGCAGTTGTACTTGACGCAGTCATCCCAGAAGCGGCTTGCGGAGAACTTCTTGCGGAGGACCACCGTCAGCCCGTAGATTAGACACTGCCCCACGCCCATGATGTTCCCTGCAGAGTGCGGGCTCGGTGAGGAGTCCCCAGTCCCTGCCCCCCACCCCGCCCCCACCCGCCCGCGGTACCTGCCGTGTGGTACAGGGGCAGGCAGTCATAGAGCACGTCTGCCACCTGCATGCTGTAGGCGTGGTGGCCGAAGGCTGCGATGCGGTAGTACCTGCGGGGGCGGGGAGTGCAGGGGCTGCGACTTACATCCTCTGGGGCATGGGAGTGGGGGGAACGTGCAAGAGAGAGGGGCAGCAAGGGGGGGCGAGGGGGGAGGGGAGGTGGCAGAACACCGCAGGGTCCACCCTCACAGGGGTGCTGGAGAGGAACATGCCGCCTATAACTATCAATGGTGCTAGGGGCCATTAGAAATAGGAGAGCAGAGAAACGGAGAGGGGCTGAAGGTGACACAGCCAGAGAGGCTGGGGGATCCTGTGTGGGGAGGTGACACATGAGCTGAGACCTGGTGAGAAGGAGCCATGGTGGGGGCCGGGGAGGGCCAGGGAAGAGCGGCCAGGTGGAGGGCACAGCAAGTGCAAAGGCCCTGAGGCCAGAAGGACACTGGTGGGTCTGTGGAAGTGTAAGGAGCTGAAAGGCTAGGAGTGAGGAGTGGAGAGAAGGAAGAGGACAGCAGAGAGAATTGGCAGGCGTTGCACAACTCGACCATGGATTTTACTCTGAGGGCCAAGGCAGGTACAGGGAAGTCTGGCACCCGGGGGGGGGGGGGCGTCTGGTTTAAGATTTTAAACCCTCCTGCGGCCACTGAGAGGAGCAGGGCCATTAGGGGCAGGAGCAGGAGCAAGAGACCAAGGAGGGACACAGAGCACCTCTGTCCCGAGATGGGCTGTGGGTTTTACTGGGTTGAGACAGAAATGTTCCCAAGATCCCAACAAGATTGAGGGAAGGGGTCAGCCATAGAGGCGACCTGGAGTCACTCCCCAAAGCTGGAATAAGGCCCATGGGCCCCTTACCTGCTGTGCACTACAATGGCAGCCTTGGGCAGCCCTGTGGTCCCCGAGGTGTAGATATAGAAGAGTCGATCTGCAGGAGATGCGTGTGTTGGAGACCGAAGACTGGGTGGGTGGAATGAGGGGACAGGGTAGGTAGGCACTGGCAGAAGAAGGGTGTCCCACCCTGGCCTCACCATCCATGCCCTTGTCAGGGGGGCTGTGCCAGAGGGGCTGTGGAGGCCTCCTTCAGCAATGGGTCCAGGAGCTGGGTGTCGGGCACGATACCCTCAGGCCCCAGTTCTCCGGAGCAGAACTTGACCAGGCTCTTCCCCAGCTGTCCGCTCACCTCGGCCACCGCTGCAGCCCAAAACAGATGTCACGGTCAAGGACGGCCAGGGCCCCTCCCAAGGCCTGGGATGCACCATACTATCTCCCGGTCCTGGAAACCCAGGAGTCCCGACCCAAGATGACGCGTGCACCTGACCTCACCTGCCGTCAGCTCCCCTCCGAAGATGAGGGCCTTGGCCCCCGAGGTGCCCAGGCAGAAGGCCAGGGGCTCGCGCCGTAGGTTAACGTTGAGCAGAGCGGCTTCCACGCCCACCTTGGCCAGGCCCAGCCAGAGCCCCACGAACTCCGGCCGGCCCTCCAGGAAGATGGCCACCACGTCACCTGGCGCGAAGCCCAGCTGGCAGAAGAGGTTGGCCACAGCATTGGAGTAGGCATCCAGCTGCGCGAAGGTCCAGCACACATCACTGCCTGCGTCCACCAGTGCCAGGCGATCCGGCTGCCGCCGCGCCACCACCTGGAAGATCCACGGGATGGTGTGGCGGGCGCGCTGGTGCCTCCGCAGCTCCAGACGGACACGGATCAGCACGAAGAGGCCACTGGGGGGAGGGGAGGATGGAGGGGATGGGGTCACTGGGTGCCCTGCCTGGCCTCCAGGAGACCTCTCCAAGCCTCAGCATCTCCATCTGGAGAAAGCAGAGGGAAAAGTCCTGCACCCCCAAGGAAGGCAAAAGTTCAATAAGGACCTTTTGGTCACTGGGTCTCTTGGGGGTACTAAGGGCATAGAAAGGGCAATTTGCCAGCCAACCCAGAAGTACACAGATGGTCAAAGCTGGCCATGCCATGCCATGAAAATCAGAGTGACTCTGTCCTTCTCCACCCCAGCTAGTTCAGTGACTCTGAGGGAGCCAGGATCCAGTCCTGTCCTTTTTCTCTCCTGGAACATCCAGAGCCTCCCATGGATGCCACCACCACCTTTAACCTAGATTCCTCATGCTGCATCCACCCCAACCTGGTGTCCTTATCACCTCCTCCAGAAGACTTCCAGGGCTCAGCCCCTCTATTGTGCCCACTGCTCCCCCACCAAGCATAGAGTCCCCCAAATGGGGCCAAACTGGGGCAGACACTGGCTGGGCTCATAAAACTCTCTCTTGCCCACCTTGGAAGCTCTCCCTATCCCCTATTCTCCATCAAAGCCTCTGTGCAAAGCCATTCGATAATGGGTGTTCCCCCCCACCCCTAGATCATGAGCACCCAAGGGGAAGTCACATCTGGTTTGGCTGAGGAACCTGGCACGTACTAGATGCCCAATAAACAGGCCAGACTGTGCTCATGTCCCCAAACCTGGACCTTAGTGTGCCCTCCATTCCTGGAGGTAGCAGCCAGCACAGAGTCAGACTCTTCCATTCATCTCCCAGATGATGAGCATCTCCTGTGTGCCAGGCCCCCAGTGGGCAAGACCCAGTGGTGACCCGGACATAACCCTTCTCCCCCTCCAACTTTCTCCTCCTCCACCTCCCTTTCCATCCTGCTTCCCCTGCCAGCTCCCCCTTGCTCACTCACTCCAGCCACGGGGCCTCCTTGTTGTTCCTTGAGCACATCCGGCACACTCCTACCTCAGGGTCTTTGCACAGGCCATACCCCCTGCCTAGACCACTCTTCCACCAACATCTACATTGCTCCTAACCCACTTCCATCAGGTCTTAGCTTATATGCCACCCTCTTCAGGTGGCCATTCCCAGACACCCATCTGTTATGGTACCATCACCACCACCCCTCTGATCCCTGCTTTCGTTTATTTTTCAACACGGCACTTACACTGTCAAATGCCCTGTGCAGTTTACTGACCTACCATTTTGCCGCTGGGTTATCTCTCCCTGCCCTGGATGACAGGCACTTGTGTCTATTTTTGTTCTAGGCCCTGGAGAGACAGCCGTGGAGACAGACCAAGGCCCCACTCTCCTGGAGCGCAGTGAGCCTGCCACAAATAATCCCACAGGACACCATCGGAGGGAGAAAGAGAGGCATCTGGAGCTCTCATGCCAGACCTGAACCCCGCAGCCTAAAAAAAGCAGCCACCTCTTTATGGCTGGCCAGATCTTTGGTGAGAGGAGGGGCAAGGTCCCAGGCCAAGACCTCTGTGAAGAGAAGCAAGACAGGCAGGGGGACAGCTGTAAGGACCAAAAACAAAGGGTCTTCGGGAGGTTACCACCCACCAGTCCCCTCTGGGTGCCTGGCCCGTTACTCTCAGGGTGACTGATAGCCTCTAACCACAGAGCTCCGCTCATCCAAGCCCCTGTTTGCAGTGACCAGGGGAAGCGACGCCTGCCTCCCACCAGGAGCCTGGCACATAGTAGGTGCTTAGCAAAGAGAGGCTGAACGACTCCCTTCAAGACCCTGAATCTGGAGCCCAGGAGCCTGCCCCTCCCTGGTGACCAGTGCAGAGGCACGGATTCCTTCATGGCCACACATCGAGCACCTGCTTTGCACAGGTGAAGCTGATCAGGTGGGAGACGCAGATATCGGTGGGGGTGGGGGGCCAGAGTGAGCACTGGGGGGCTGAGATACTGATGGCAAAGGGGTGAAGGAGTCTTGTGGGGAGATGGGGATGCTCTGTATCTTGATGGTGGTAGTTACCTAGATCGAAAACCCCAAACGTATACTTAGCACGGGTATATTTCATTTTATGTAAGTGATACCTCAAAAACAACCCATGGGAACAGAGCCGATTGGCAGTTGCCAGGGGCTGCGGGGAGGGGAAATGACTGCTAATGGGAATGGGGTTTCCTTTTAGGGTGATGGAAATGTTCTGGAACCAGATGGAGGTGGTGGTTATGTAACTGTGAATGTGCTCGATGTCACTAAGGTCAATTTTATACACACTTCACTACAATAAAAATGAACAGGACAACTCAGGAAGAATATCTTGCGGCAAGGTTAAAAAGGGGGAGTCTTTGCCTCCAAGAGACAGACTCTAGAAAACTAACAGGTGAAAGGATGTGCCAGTGGGACTAGGAGAGCGGAGGAAGAGTCAGTGAAGGTCATGGATGTTGGGGGATGGGCACATGGGCTCAAAACATTATTCTCTCCACTTCTGTAGGCAGGAAATCTTCCATAATAAAATCTTTTATTTATTTTTATTTTTTATTTTTTAAGAGGGGAGGGGCAAGGGGCACAGAGAGACAGAGAAAGAGAATTTTAAGCAGGCTCCGTGCTGAGACATGGGACTCGATCTCACGGCCCCAAGATCATGACCTGAGCGGAAAACAGGAGACAGATGCTTAACCAGCTGCGCCATCCAGGCACCCTCTCCCCACAAAAATGTTTTAACCCTCCAAAGCCCCGCCTGCCCCAGTCCCCATCTATCTGCCCACTTCATCCTGCTCTCTATTCCTCCAGCTTCCTCTCACCTCCTTCCCTGATTTTCAGCCTGGCAAAGGTTCCTGCCCCTGGGCCTTTGCACATGCAGTTGCCACTGCTGGAATATTCTGCCCCAGATGTCTCATCAGGCTTCCTTCACATCCTTTACCTCTCAGCTCCAGCTCCTGCCTGGAGAGGTCTTCCTTGCCCTGCCCAGCTTGGGTCACTATGGCTGTTTGAGAAGCTGCCTGCAAATTCCTTGACAGTCTTCGCTTCAAAAGGCAGGTCCTATTTCCCTGCCCCTTGGGAAGGGCAGACTCAGGGACTCACTTCTAATGAAGAAAACATAGCAGCAGTGATGCTGTGTGACTTCCGAGATGGGGGCACCGAGACAGCACCCCCTTCCTCTAGGCACACTGATGTTCTCACACTCTCTGGGGACAGTGGCCCTCAAAACCCAGCACCAAGTTGCAAAGAAGCCCAGACCATGTGGAGAGCCCATGTACAGGTGTTCTAACAACACATCTGAGTGAACAAAACTTCGGGTGATTCCGGTCCCAGATTCTGAGTCGGCCAGCGGAAGCCCCAGACTTGGCAGAGCAGATAAAATGGTGACATCTGACTTCCTGACCCAGAGAAGACACAGGAAATAATACTGAGCCTTGTGTTAAGCCTCTAGGTTCTGGGGTAATTTGTTACTACGCAGCCATGGAAATGATGGGTAACTGCTACGCTCCCAGCCCGTTTTATTCCTTCAGAGCAATCATCACAATCGGAAATGACCAGCTTCCTTTATGGGTTTCCTGGCATTTTATGTTGATTTCTATGAGAGCAAGCACCCTGTCTATTGTGTCCGGGGATACAGTACTGGCACGAAACACAGGACGATGATGGTGTCCTACCACGCTACGCAAACACAGCCCCGCCTCCCCCGTCTGCACGCAACTGTGGCTGTTGAAGAGTGTCCCCAATAATTCACATCCACCCAAAACCTCAGACGTGACCTCATTCTGAAGTAGGATCTTTATAGATGTAACTGAGATGCATATGAGACGAGGTCATCCCGATTCCCCAGGAGGGACCTAAGTCCAATGACAGGTGTCTTTTTAAGGAGAACACAGAAACACAGGGGAGGAGACAGGGGTGACACGGCCACAAGCCTCACGACACCTGGAGCCCTCAGAAGCTGGAAGAGGCAAGAGAGGATTCCCTCGAGAGCCTTCCAAGGGAGCACGCCTGCCGACACCTCGATGGCTGGTTGCCAGAACTTAGAAGAAAACAAATTCCTGTGGTTTTAAGCCACAAGTCTGTGGTCAGTTACAGCAGTCCTGGGACATGACAAATGAAGACAGTAAGATCCCCCACCTCCCAGGTCATGGTGGGGAGAAAAGAGGCCAGAGGTAGATTGCTGAAGATGGGGCCTGGCACATCCTATATTCCCAACCAACTCTGTTGCTATCCTTTCCCCCACGGAAGGAAGCACAGTGAGTAAGAAATCAGAATGGAATTAGCACTTTATCTACCCAGCAACTTCATTCGTATTCACCCTGCAAGGAAAAGAGAGGAACAAGCAAGTTATGAGAGCAGGGGTCAGCCCAGGAAGCCCCCAGGGATAAGGCAGAGAGGCAGAGGAGGAGGCGGAGCTGATTTCTCAAGCACCTGTCCAGGAGCTCTGAGCCCCAGCACAACCCAGGAGAAAAAAGTGCCCTAGAGTTCACGGTCTTAGTTCAAAGCCTCTTTGACTGCCTACAAGCTGTGGGGGCCTGGGCAGACCCTGCCCTCCCTACAGGCCTCAGTTTCCTTACTTGGAACGTCCAAAGACTGGACCAAACAACCTCCAAAGTGTGCTCCAGCTCACCAAAGTGTAGGTCCTGCCACTGCCCTATTTACAAACAGGAAGTGGGGCCCAGAGCAGCCACCCAAACAATGCAATTCTCAGCCTAATACCTGTCAAGCATGTTAAGTGCCCAGCCAAGAAGAAGGGTTGAATAAGAGGGATCCGTTGTTCCTCTGCCCAGCGGGATCCTGCCTCTGCGCTTTGCACCTGCTCTTCCCTCTTCCTTTCCCCAGATCTTTGCAAGGTTGCTTCCTCTCATCTGCCTACTTGCGCCGGAGGCCCTGCCCTGATCACCTTGGCTGAAGTCGCCACCAGTGATCCCTGCCCCACCCCCAACATGTTCAAGCCTTCTTGTCAATTTCAGATGTTTTATTATGTCCTCGTTGCCTTTTTGATTATTCT